GAGAAACCGCCCCAAAAATGAACCTGAACCGCCCCAAAAACCGAGAAACCGCCCCAAAAACGGGAAAACCGCCCCAAAAAACCGAGAAACCACCCCAAAAATGAACCTGAACCGCCCCAAAAACGGGAAAACCGCCCCAAAAACGGGGAATCCGCCCCAAAAATGAACCCGGACCGCCCCAAAAACCGAGAAACCGCCCCAAAAATGAACCCGAACCGCCCCCAAAACGGGGGAAACCGCCCCAAAAAGGGACCCGGATCGGCCCAAAAATGAACCCGGACCGATCCCAAACACTGGACCCAAAACGGCCCCGAAAAACAGAGAAACCGCCCCAAAACCGAATCCGAACAGATCCTAAAACAGCCCAAAAACAGAGAAACAGCCCCCAAAACGGACCCTAACCGCCCCAAAAAGAACCCGAACCGATCCTAAAACACATGACCCGAAAGGGCCCCGAAAAACAGAGAAATCACCCCAAAAATGAACCCGAACTGGCCCCGAAAAGTGAACCCGAACCGGTCCTAAAATAGCCCAAAAACAAGAGAAATGCTCTCAAAACCAGACCTGAACTGATCCCAAACCCCGGACCCGAAAAGCAGACATAAACACCCCAAAAGCAGACCCCAAAGCAGGTCCAAATCAGCCCAAAACCAGCCCTAAAACAGAACCTAACCCAGCCCCAAAGAGCTGTTTTAAACAGTCCCAAAACAGGCCCAGAATACTCCCCAAAACCACCCCAAACACGTCCCCAAAACAGCCCCAAACATCCCTCAAAACCACCCCCAAAACAGCCTTAAAACACTTCTGAAAGACCTCCCCAAAACGCCCCGAAACCACCCCAAAAACACCCCAAAAACACCCCCAGACAGCCCCAAAACAGCACCAAACAACCCCAAAAACACCCCAAAAACATCCCCAAACAGCCCCAAAACAGCACCAAATATCCCTCCAAAAAATCCCCAAACAGCCCCAAAAACACCTCCAAACCACCCCAAAAATATCCCCAAATACCCCCAAAACAACCCCAAAAACAGCCCAAAAACATCCCCAAACAGCCACAAACCACCCCAAACAGCCCCAACTCCCCCCAAAAAATCCCCAAACAGCCCCAAAATGGCCACAAAAACACCCCAAAAACAGTCCCAAATACTCCCCAAAACCATCCCCAAATACCCCCAAAAACATCCCTGAACAGCCCCAAAACAGCCCCAAAAGCACCCCAAAAACAGCCCCAAATACCCCCAAATACCTCCCAAAACAGCCACAAATACCCCCCAAAACAGCCCCAAACCACCCCAAATGAATCTCCCCCATCTCTCTTTCCTTCACTTTTATTGGGGTCAGGAGTGACCCTAAAAACAACGGGAACAGGGGGTGACATCCCCGACCCCAATCCGGGCTGGGGACAGGGGGTGACATCATGGGGTGACGTCATAGGGGGCCATCATGGGGTGACATCGCGGGGTGACATTGCAGGGTGACATCACACGGTGACATCGCATGGTGACCTCACAGGGTGACATCATGGGATAACATCCCGGGGTGACATCACACGGTGACATCGCATGGTGACATCATGGGATAACATCACACGGTGACATCACACGGTGACATCACAGAGTGACCCCTTGGTGGCCGCTCCTTCCCGGGGTCCTGGCGATCCCGTCCGGGGTCCTGTGGGGACAGAGGGACGGTTTGGGGACAGGGTGGGGGTGGCGGGAGTCACCTGGGGGTCACCCTGGGGTCACTTGAGGGTCACCCGGGGGTCACTTGGGGGTCACCTGGACACACCTGGGGTCACTTGGGGGTCACCTGGGGTCACTTGGGGTCACCTTGGGGTCACTCTGGGGTCACTTGGGGGTCATCTGGGGTCACCCGGCGGTCATCTGGGGTCACCTTGGGGTCACTC